CAGTGGCAGTGATGCCAGTCAGTGGCAGTGATGCCAGTCAGTGGCAGTGATGCCAGTCATTGGCAGTGATGCCAGTCAGTGGCAGTGATGCCAGTCATTGGCAGTGATGCCAGTCAGTGGCAGTGATGCCAGTCATTGGCAGTGATGCCAGTCAGTGGCAGTGATGCCAGTCAGTGGCAGTGATGCCAGTCAGTGGCAGTGATGCCAGTCATTGGCAGTGATGCCAGTCATTGGCAGTGATGCCAGTCAGTGGCAGTGATGCCAGTCAGTGGTGGTGATGCCAGTCATTGGCAGTGATGCCAGTCAGTGGCAGTGATGCCAGTCAGTGGCAGTGATGCCAGTCAGTGGCAGTGATGCCAGTCAGTGGCAGTGATGCCAGTCATTGGCAGTGATGCCAGTCAGTGGCAGTGATGCCAGTCAGTGGTGGTGATGCCAGTCATTGGCAGTGATGCCAGTCATTGGCAGTGATGCCAGTCAGTGGCAGTGATGCCAGTCAGTGGCAGTGATGCCAGTCAGTGGCAGTGATGCCAGTCATTGGCAGTGATGCCAGTCAGTGGCAGTGATGCCAGTCAGTGGCAGTGATGCCAGTCAGTGGCAGTGATGCCAGTCATTGGCAGTGATGCCAGTCAGTGGCAGTGATGCCAGTCAGTGGCAGTGATGCCAGTCATTGGCAGTGATGCCAGTCATTGGCAGTGATGCCAGTCAGTGGCAGTGATGCCAGTCAGTGGTGGTGATGCCAGTCATTGGCAGTGATGCCAGTCATTGGCAGTGATGCCAGTCAGTGGCAGTGATGCCAGTCAGTGGCAGTGATGCCAGTCAGTGGTGGTGATGCCAGTCATTGGCAGTGATGCCAGTCATTGGCAGTGATGCCAGTCATTGGCAGTGATGCCAGTCATTGGCAGTGATGCCAGTCAGTGGCAGTGATGCCAGTCATTGGCAGTGATGCCAGTCAGTGGCAGTGATGCCAGTCAGTGGCAGTGATGCCAGTCAGTGGCAGTGATGCCAGTCATTGGCAGTGATGCCAGTCATTGGCAGTGATGCCAGTCATTGGCAGTGATGCCAGTCAGTGGCAGTGATGCCAGTCAGTGGCAGTGATGCCAGTCATTGGCAGTGATGCCAGTCAGTGGCAGTGATGCCAGTCAGTGGCAGTGATGCCAGTCAGTGGCAGTGATGCCAGTCATTGGCAGTGATGCCAGTCAGTGGCAGTGATGCCAGTCATTGGCAGTGATGCCAGTCAGTGGCAGTGATGCCAGTCATTGGCAGTGATGCCAGTCAGTGGCAGTGATGCCAGTCAGTGGCAGTGATGCCAGTCAGTGGCAGTGATGCCAGTCATTGGCAGTGATGCCAGTCATTGGCAGTGATGCCAGTCAGTGGCAGTGATGCCAGTCAGTGGTGGTGATGCCAGTCATTGGCAGTGATGCCAGTCAGTGGCAGTGATGCCAGTCAGTGGCAGTGATGCCAGTCAGTGGCAGTGATGCCAGTCAGTGGCAGTGATGCCAGTCATTGGCAGTGATGCCAGTCAGTGGCAGTGATGCCAGTCAGTGGTGGTGATGCCAGTCATTGGCAGTGATGCCAGTCATTGGCAGTGATGCCAGTCAGTGGCAGTGATGCCAGTCAGTGGCAGTGATGCCAGTCAGTGGCAGTGATGCCAGTCATTGGCAGTGATGCCAGTCAGTGGCAGTGATGCCAGTCAGTGGCAGTGATGCCAGTCATTGGCAGTGATGCCAGTCATTGGCAGTGATGCCAGTCAGTGGCAGTGATGCCAGTCAGTGGTGGTGATGCCAGTCATTGGCAGTGATGCCAGTCATTGGCAGTGATGCCAGTCAGTGGCAGTGATGCCAGTCAGTGGCAGTGATGCCAGTCAGTGGTGGTGATGCCAGTCATTGGCAGTGATGCCAGTCATTGGCAGTGATGCCAGTCATTGGCAGTGATGCCAGTCATTGGCAGTGATGCCAGTCAGTGGCAGTGATGCCAGTCAGTGGCAGTGATGCCAGTCATTGGCAGTGATGCCAGTCAGTGGCAGTGATGCCAGTCATTGGCAGTGATGCCAGTCAGTGGCAGTGATGCCAGTCAGTGGCAGTGATGCCAGTCAGTGGCAGTGATGCCAGTCATTGGCAGTGATGCCAGTCAGTGGCAGTGATGCCAGTCAGTGGCAGTGATGCCAGTCATTGGCAGTGATGCCAGTCATTGGCAGTGATGCCAGTCAGTGGCAGTGATGCCAGTCAGTGGTGGTGATGCCAGTCATTGGCAGTGATGCCAGTCATTGGCAGTGATGCCAGTCAGTGGCAGTGATGCCAGTCAGTGGCAGTGATGCCAGTCAGTGGTGGTGATGCCAGTCATTGGCAGTGATGCCAGTCATTGGCAGTGATGCCAGTCATTGGCAGTGATGCCAGTCATTGGCAGTGATGCCAGTCAGTGGCAGTGATGCCAGTCATTGGCAGTGATGCCAGTCAGTGGCAGTGATGCCAGTCAGTGGCAGTGATGCCAGTCATTGGCAGTGATGCCAGTCAGTGGCAGTGATGCCAGTCAGTGGCAGTGATGCCAGTCAGTGGCAGTGATGCCAGTCATTGGCAGTGATGCCAGTCAGTGGCAGTGATGCCAGTCATTGGCAGTGATGCCAGTCAGTGGCAGTGATGCCAGTCATTGGCAGTGATGCCAGTCAGTGGCAGTGATGCCAGTCAGTGGCAGTGATGCCAGTCAGTGGCAGTGATGCCAGTCATTGGCAGTGATGCCAGTCATTGGCAGTGATGCCAGTCAGTGGCAGTGATGCCAGTCAGTGGTGGTGATGCCAGTCATTGGCAGTGATGCCAGTCAGTGGCAGTGATGCCAGTCAGTGGCAGTGATGCCAGTCAGTGGCAGTGATGCCAGTCAGTGGCAGTGATGCCAGTCATTGGCAGTGATGCCAGTCAGTGGCAGTGATGCCAGTCAGTGGCAGTGATGCCAGTCAGTGGCAGTGATGCCAGTCATTGGCAGTGATGCCAGTCAGTGGCAGTGATGCCAGTCAGTGGCAGTGATGCCAGTCAGTGGCAGTGATGCCAGTCAGTGGCAGTGATGCCAGTCAGTGGCAGTGATGCCAGTCATTGGCAGTGATGCCAGTCATTGGCAGTGATGCCAGTCATTGGCAGTGATGCCAGTCAGTGGCAGTGATGCCAGTCAGTGGCAGTGATGCCAGTCATTGGCAGTGATGCCAGTCAGTGGCAGTGATGCCAGTCAGTGGCAGTGATGCCAGTCATTGGGAGTCATTGCTTCCATCCATTGATCGCTTTTTGTGCTCAACCATTCTTCCTTCCTCCCCCTACCCCCCCTACCCCACACCTCCCCTTTCCCTAACCGCCCATCCCTCTAAGAGGCATCAGAGGCGGCTGTAGCAGCCGTGACAGCGAGGGCACGAGCCAGCATTGGTGGGGATGAGACTCGAGAGGAGGCGGCTGGAGGGGAGAAGGCGGCAGCAGTAATGGCAGCAGGGACAACAGCAGCAGCTGAAGCTAGTGGTCGTTTTGAGACGTCTCAAAACAGCAGCAGCTGAAGCTAGAGGTCGTTTTGAGACGTCTCAAAACAGCAGCAGCTGAAGCTAGTGGTCGTTTTGAGACGTCTCAAAACAGCAGCAGCTGAAGCTAGTGGTCGCTGCGCTGCAGAGACCATTTCTCGATTTTCGTTCTCAGCTATCCTTTCAGCCATGTGATTAGGCGAGCAGCAGTCTAAAAGAAATCTTCAGCAAAGGATTAACAGTGCGATCTGTTGTTGTTCCTGCTAAAAACAAGGAGTTTCAAGAAATCCGACTCAAAATTCCACTGAAAGATTAAAACGAGGTAAACTAGTTTCGGTGGACGCGACAGGCCCCAATCACACCTTCATCGAGACCATTTCTCGATTTTCGTTCTCAGCTATCCTTTCTCGCCCCTTCTCCTCCTTCTACTCCTTCTCCTCCTTCTCCTCCTTCTCCTCCTTCTCCTCCTTCTCCTCCTTCTCCTCCTTCTCCTCCTTCTCCCACACACGGGTTTCCCCCAACCGTCTTTCCCCCTGCCTCCCAAACCAATCAGCTCCAGCACAGGCGGACAGAAGCATCAGAGGCGGCCGTAGCAGCATCAGTGGCAGCAGTGACAGGGAGGGCTCGAGCCAGCCTTGGTCTGGATGAGAGGAGGCGGTTGGAGGAGAGGGATGTTAGGGAGCGAGAGGAGCTGAGCGGAGGGAGGGGAGGAGGGAAAGAGGGAGGAGGGGAGGGAGGGGAGAGGGATGGTGTGGTGTTGGGAGGGAGACAGACCGGTTCTGTGGAGTGGAGAGCAGCGAGGGGGGAACTGGGGTGGGAGAGGGAGGGTGATGGGGGGGGCAGGGGGAAGGAGGGGAAGGATGGGAGGTTGGAGAGAAGGATGGTGGATGAGCACGTGGGTTCCCTTCTGCTTGCTGTAGGGGACATGTGTCGTGATGTTATTGGCTCTCCAAGTCTGGAAGCATCATCAGCAGCAGCGCAGAAGTCGCTAGGCAATTCTTTAGACGCTCTCCTCTCTCTGATCTCTGTTGTGCGCTCGCTCCCCTTCCGCTCCCGCTCGCTGCCGCTCAATGACAAGCGCTGCGACCCCTTCCGCAAGGCACTCCTGGATGCAGTAGCGACGTCAACGGTTGGTGGGACTGGTGGTGCTGTTACTGCTTTCGGTACTTCTGCTTCTGGTGTTGGTGGCTCTGCTGCTGCTGCTGCTGCTGCTGCTGCTGCTGCTGCCACAGATACTGCTAGTGGCAGTGGTGGGAGCAGTACGCATAGTAGCAGCGAACAAGAGAGCAGCAGCAAGCATGGCAACAGCAGCAACACACAGGAGAGTCCTATCTCCTCCGCAGATCCCCTGCTATCACTCCTGACTGCCATAGGGGTTCAGATCTGGAAGGAGGGAGAGGACGAGGAGAGTGAGGGGGCGGGGTGGATGGTAGGGGTGAAGGAGAGGGAAGCTGAAGGAGTAGAGGGGGCCATTGCACAAGAGAGGAAAGAAAAGGGGGAAGTAGCAGCAGGGATGGGAGGTTGGAGGTACGGAAAAGGGGCTGTGCTTGCAGCTGCGGCATTACAAGCTGCACAGGAGGTGCTGCCACGTGTCAAGCAGGGATTGGAGCAGATGCAGGCTGGGAATGGTGGGGATGGAGACACGGCGTGGCTGCAGGGATTGGTGCAGCATGCGAGGGTGTGTGGCGGCTGGGTATCAGCTGATGGGGAGAACGCTCCCAATGAGATGGTGAGATTTTCACATGGGATGGGTGGTGTGGTTTGCAGTGTGGCTGGTAGTGGTAGGGATGGGGATGGAGTTGTGGCGTGGCTGCAGGGGTTGGTGCAGCATGAGAGGGTGTGTGGCGGCTGGGTGTCAGCTGATGGGGAGAACGCTCCTAATGAGATGGTGAGAAGGGTGGTGTGGTTTGTGGTGTGGTTGGTAGCGGTAGGGATGGGGATGCAGATGCAGCGTGGCTTCAGGGGTTGGTGCAGCATGAGAGGGTGTGTGGCGGTTTTGTGTCGGCAGATGGAGAGAACGCACCCAATGAGATGGTGAGATGGTCAGATGTTCAGATGGGTGTGGAGTGGTTCGATTGAATGAATGCTGTCAGCTCAGTCTGGGCGGGTGTATGGGTGTGACTGTATGGGTGTCTGGCGGCTGGGTGTCAGCTGATGGGGAGAAGAGAACGCACCCAATGAGATGGTGAGATGGGTGGTTGTGGCTGTGGATGGCAGATTCTACTCTGTTTCACTGTGGCTGTGTGTGTGTCTCAACACAATGAATGCTCTCACTTCACATCCCTCCATTTGTCTGCCCTCCGTCCCAGGCCGTATCGGCATGCGATGCATTGCTGCACACCAAATGGATCTGATCCTTAATATGGTACCACGTGCCACAACCCTCCATTCCTTTATCCGTCTGCCCTCCGTCCCAGGCCGTATCGGTATGCGATGCATCGCTGTACAGCAAATGGATCTGATGCCTTAATATGATACCACGTGCCACAACCCTCCATTCCTTTATCCGTCTGCCCTCCGTCCCAGGCCGTATCGGCATGCGATGCATCGCTGCACACCAAGTGGCTGCACCATGAGGGAGGGAAAGGTATGCTGTTACCAGCTGCCGTGCCATACTGTGCCATGCTGTGACATTACGTGCCATGACATGGCATGCCATGCCATGACACGGCATGCCATACCATGCCGTGACATGCCATGCCACTCATGCCATGCCATGATGTGCCATCCAATGCCATCCAAGTTATTCATGTGCTTCATATATTGTGAGTGCAATTTCGAGCTAAATCCAGCTTGTGGCATCAGGCAAAACGTTTTTGTCCTTCGGTGAACATTCTTATCGTTCGGGTGGCACTTTCTCATCGTTCTGGTGGCACTTTCTAATCGTTCTGGTGGCACTCCCTTCGGCAGGTGCATGGTTACAGTACCGGCTCAGTGGCTCCGCTCCTGTTACAGTCACCATGTATTCAATTACATCGGCGAATGATTGCCCAGAGAGGGACCCCTGCTGCTGGTGAGTCTCACATGTGCTCTTCAATGGTAGTGAAGAACGAACACATTCGTTTCAACCAGAAATGCGTCTCTTCATTGAATCACTGTGCAATGCATGACTTCGTGAAACATATCCTTCCACCCATGCACTACGTGCACTGTATCAGGTCGCTGCAAGCCAGCAAGGATGGCGGAAAGACTTGGAGCGGTCTGGACACACAGGCTGGTGTGCATTTCATCAGCAGGCATCAGATTAAAGTTTTTGTGATCAGCCCAGCCAAGCAAACCCCAGCAACTCTATTCAGGTACAGCTTTGCCACACCGACTCCGTTCAGGTGCAGATTTGCCTCAGCGACTCTCTTCAGGTATCAGAACAAAGCTATTCAAGTACCAATACATTTCACTTGGTAGCGTCGGTAGCGCTCGGTAGTGCTACCGTTTCGCTACACGACGCTACCGAGTGAGTCAGCATTCTGCCCGCGGGCAGAAAAACTAAAACCCATTCGGACTGCATGCCATTCGGGAGCCTCAACCCTAAAATTTTAGGGTTGATGCTCCCGAATGGCATGCCATCCGATGGGGGTTTAGTTTTTTTCTTGCCCGCTGACTCATTGCACTGCCTGCTGACGCAGGCAGTGCAATATATATTCCAATCTGTTGCACATCTCTCCTGTTTCACTTATGCGTCTGCACTTATTTGACCCAAGCTATATAAGGTAACTCTGCATTTCAGTATCTTCAACATTTGTATGATGGCAAGAATCACTTAGCAACTTGACTGTACAGCCAGTTCAGAATGGCAATTGATCACGTAAATGATTGCTCTGGCCACTATCCCCTCGCTCCCTTGTTTGTCTCGCAGGCTTGTCATCTCAGCCGTCCGAGACCCGTCCTGCAGTTGCCTTCAGCTTGCCTGCTTTGACCTTTACACTGCACGCCAGCAGCCTCTGCAGACAGATTATGCGAAAGCATCCACGAGCACAGGAACTGTGGACGGCAAAAGTCAAGAGGTCAGTAATGAAATAATACCAACGTCTTCAGCAATCAAGGCACCACTGGCAGTGGTTACTGCAGCAGCTGCAGCAGCGGCAGCGGCAGCAGCGCGAGAGCAATTTGCTGTGGCAGTACGCCAGGAGTTCCAGCGACTGGTGGTGGAAGAGAAGGTTCCTGCGAACGAGGCAGCTGGGCGAGCTCTGAAGCATGTGCAAGAGAGGTTGAGTCAGGGAAAACCATGATCTCGCTAAATCAGGTCTAAGTCGCTGCAAGTTGAATGAGAAAGATTATTGAACTACAGGACTGTATTTAAGTCGTGTTCCTATGACACCATCCTTCTGAGCCCACTGTGCTTTGTTTAACTGCTATTAGTGCACCATTTATGCCCATCCATATAGACTGAATGTGATCTGATTAAAGAATCAACCATAGACCAGAAAAATACCTCCATGTCACACGCATTGATGCATTTTCTGCCTTGTCACCACCACGTTCAAAGCTCACTTGTGTGGAATTTCAAACATCCTTGGTGTCCGCATCTTCAGCTTCTCCAGCATTGTTGGCGCTTTGCTGGGACTATCTTTTGGAGATGCTGTGGCAGAATGTCCACCAACCTCAACTTTTGCGAAACATTCCTTCATAGCTGCAGCCTTTATCTCTGCCTCCTCTTTCTTACGTTGGGCTTCCTTAACTTCGATAGTTAGCTCTTCTCGCAGCTTCTTCTCATGGGCCAGCTGTTCTTTCAGATTCTTCTGCTCAGCATGGAGATCTTCAATCGTACTCTTGCAATCAGAGTGTTCAAGGATCTGCAAAAGTGGAATGCAGTTAGAATCTTATGCACAAGATTTTAAAGTGGCAGCAAAGTTTACCTTTACAGAAAGATTCTGCAGTGCAGACTGAAGAGAGGCGTTCTCAGCCCTCAAAACTTCAACATCCGATTTGAAGGGCTGCTGCTCGTTCTCTGACTCCTTCACACTTCCCTCTTCCCCATCAGCTTCACTTGTTGAGCCAGCAGGAGGTTCTGCTGCAGACAATCTGATGAGGGACATTGGGTCATTTGAAGCCCGTGAAGTCCTGATTGAACTTCCCATCTCAGCTGCAGACATGAGAGTCTTGATCACCTCCTTGGACTCATCTAGCTGGCGCTCCTGCACCTTCACCAAATCCCTCAGCCTCAGCAGTTCTTCATATTGAGAGCTCACTCCAGTCTCCTGGGACAACAATTCTTCAGCCACTGCTGCACCATTGCCATCAGCAGCCAAGGAATCTGCTTTCAGGCTTTCTTTCTCACCCTCCTTCACTGTCTCAGTCGCTTCAGCATCCTTCCTCTGTTGCGGTCCCTCTGATCCTTGCGCTCCAACCACCGTACCCGCATTGTCACACTGCAGATCCTTCTTGTGAAGGCAGTCTACTGCATTAGCAAGTCTCTTCTCCAGCTCCTTGTTCCTGGCCAGCATTTCACCAAGCTTCGCCTCCAGCTCATGCACCTTACCCTCTTCCGCCAGAGCTTTAATCTCAGCTCGAGCCCGTTTCTTTGCCTCATCTCCACTTCTGAGCTCTGCCAGAGATCGCTTCTTTCCTTCCTCCTGAAGCTTCGCCTGAAAATCTCTTCGCATTTTTTCCTCCTCCTTTCTGAGCTTCAGTTCCTGGCGATTGAATGCCTCCATTTTGCGGCACTTTTCAGCCTCTTCTTTCAACTTCTGCTCCAGCTCCAGTCGCTTGTTTTCCGACTCCTCAAGCTTCAAGGTCATGCCCTTCAAAACCTCCTGATCGGCCTTCACTTTCACATTGTACTCCTTATGCGTTTTCTCAACCTCATTGAATGCTGTCTCAAGCTTCTGCCGCTTCTCTTCTTCTTCCTTCGCCTTGACTTCTGCCATGCGTCTCAAATGTGCAGCCTCATGCAGCTGGCATTCCACCAGCTCCAGCCTCCTTTGAAGTTCAACAACTTTCTTCTCTGCATTGATCCGGAAAGACCTCTCAGAATCCAGCTGGTTTTCCATCTCTTGTCTCAGCTCTTCCCCTTCACTTGCTGTGTGCATAGCGTCAGCCATTTGCTTTTCGAGAACCCTCTTCCGTGCCTCTGCATCCTTCCGTTTCTTTTCCTCATCCAAGGCTCTTGCTTCGGCCTCCTTCCGCTTGTTGGATTCAATGACAAACTTCGCCTCGAATTCAAGTCTCCTCTTTTCTTCAGCTACAGCCTTCCTTTGTGATTCTTGTAGAGATAATTCGAGTTTTTCAATCCTGCATGATGCTTCTCGAACAGCAATCTCATCATATGCTTTGCCGACTGAATTCTCCGCTCGCTTCATTATCTCCACATGGCTGATAGTTCCTTGAATAGAAGCAGCATTTACCTGAAATATTAGGCAATGACATCAACGACGACGTTCTCAGGCAACAATGCTTCACAAACAGAAGTGATACACACCTGACTCGAGCGCTTTGATCCATAACGATGGAGCATTTGGACGACGTCATGGCGCTTATTGGACTCAGCTATTTGCAATGGCGTCTTCCCATCCTGCAACAGAAGATTTGGTTGAATCCGACTGCACTAGAATTGCCCTGGTTTCAGGATCTTACCTTGGTCTTGCCAGTCTTGTCAGCTCCTCTTTGCAGCAATACTTGTGCGAGCTCGACTGTGCCGAATGCTGCTGCGCAGTGCAGCGGAGTAAAGAATTTCTGCACAGCATTTTGCCATATCAGGGAATATCGTGAAGGGATGTCTCACGACTGCCAAGATTTACCTGATCCCGTGCATCGTGATTGGCTCCAGATTCTAGCAGCATGATGACTTCCACGATACGTCCAAGCATTGCTCCGAGATGGAGAGGCGTTTGACCTTCCTGTAGTAGGAGTGAATATGACTGACGACACTGGAAAAGTCGCACTCAAAGACAACGAATCTAACCTTGTCCTGTGCATCTTTGTCAACGGAATGGTCCAGCAAACGCTTTACCGCTCCAGTTCCACCACCCCAAACGGCGTGATGAAGAGCAGTCCATTGGCCCTGATACATGCGAAGAAAAAATTGCATGTGTTGTCGATATGAATATACAGTGAACATACTGCGTGCTACGAACCCAAGTGTCACGTGCTTCAGCTTTCGCGCCTTTGATCAGAAGGACGTCGACAATACGCTCATGGCCGAGCCGTGCAGCCACGTGGAGAGGCGTTTGGCCTTCCTGAAATCCGAAAGAGTTTTAACGTCATTCTATTCTGACACCTTAAGAAAACAAAGAGAGAAAGCAAGCTCTCTTACAGAGTCCCTCGCTTCAATATCGACCCCCTTATCCAGAAGCTTCAGCACTTCATTAAAATTCCCCTCCCTAATAACTTTGTGCAAGAGGCGTGGACCTGGAAAATGCATTTGTTAGTTCGACCTGGAACAACTCAGAGATATTCCAGAAATTCACTAACAACCTACCCTCCATGATCGGCTGGAAATGGCTTTCAGTATGCTAGCTCAAAGAACAATGAAAGCAGGATAATTGTTTCTCAGCAACTGGCTGAGGTAAAGATGGCTTGTTGGGGGTTGACTTGAGTCTGTCCGCTGACGTTGACCAAAGTTCGCGTCCCGTCTAAACTACCACAGAGATCACCACACTGAAAGTCGAGGTGACACTGGAGAGGGCTGGTTACCCATCTGAGGGTTATGTAGTTTGAGTTTCAACCGTGTTCGCAGCCAATCTAATCGTCCTTATCGCAACTGGGTTACCGAATCCTTGTTGCTGAACCCGAACCTTTGTTGCGAAATTTAGAAATGGAGCAGTTACCAGTTCTGTTACTTCACAGTGTGGCCTGAAGCTTCACTGTTTGAAGCAGATTCCGGACAAGGAACGCGCCCCACCAAACCGAGCACCTCGCAAGATGATCCAGGTGGGTTCTTTGGGCAAGGATTTCTTGAATTCCTTCCACTTCTTCCATTCCAGAGTCCATACCATACCCTTCCATGGCAACGCCTTTTACCTTACCGAGCTCTCATCTGGAAATGCTTTGGCTTATCTTTCTGAAAACGGACATTTATCATTTGCATTGTCTTCTTTTTCCGTAACTAGCACTGAAGAAATAGTTTCGACGAAATGTCTTTCAACGTTAGGTTCAGGGTCCCACCTGATCTGATTCCACGTGAATCCGACGATCATAGTAGCAAAGAGGCAGCGAACTCTAGCAATGGCGACGTCAGTAGCATGTGTACCGACAGATACTCTGAAAGTAAGTTATCTAAATCGTCCTGCGTGGACGTTCACATACCTGCCTCTCGAGAAGAGCCTCTTCGATTAGTCTTCAACAGACTGTTTCAGTCCCATCTGCCAAACTGCTGCTTACCAAGTGAAGCACAAGATTGTGCATTAGACAGCGGGAGAGCGCTGGAGAGAAATCAGTCTCCGGCTCGGACCCAGCAGGTCCGTTTTATGGTACTTGGCCAGGTTGTTTACCTGTCGCCTGATTCAACTGTAGAACACGCGAAGCTCAAATCAACTTCAACCATCAAAGTTCTCCCCGTGAAAGCTGTGCGTAGAGACAGACTGGATAAGGGCAAGGATAAAGCTGAACAGGGTGTGATCGGTCCTGCTGCTGTACCTGCTACTATCAACGTGCCTCTTGCTGTCACTGCTCCACCTAGTGTTGTTACCACTGCGCCGCCTGCTGCTGTTGTGCTTCCTGCTGCTGCTCCTATCGTTCCTCCTCCCACTTCTCCTGCTCCAGCTGCAGCACCCGCTGCTTCTGCGCTTCCTGATGCAGCTGCTCCTCTTGCTGCCGCTACCACCAGCTCTATTGACTACCGCAAATGGGACCACATTGCTTCCAACAGCGACGAGGAGCACGGGCAGATGAAAGGATTTCCAGGGGAAGGCTTTGGGGGAAATGGAAAGGCGGATGCGTTTATCCCCCCTGATGCCTCTGCCGCTTCTGTAGCTCTGGAAGCAACATGTCGAATCATGTCAGGTTCGGAGGAGGTTCGGGAGATGCTGGAGGAGTTACAAGTACGAGACGAAGGGGGAGGACCAGGGCATGCAAAAGGGCGAAACGCCGTGGTGGGAGAAACGGAGAGAACGAGAGTTCAAGAAAGACCAGAGAAGCGTCAGCTGCTGTCTCGCACGGACATGGTTCACTACGTAGACGTGAGAGACGGTTGGGATTTCAAGGAATGCGAGTGCTGCTTCGATAGGGCAGTGAGCTACCGAGCACAGCGCGCTCTCAGCATTGCCAACATCGACATCTTCCGCCTTGAACTACACAACATGCTTCCTGCTTCCGTCCCTGCTGCGCCACCGACCCACCAAAGCAGGGCCGATGTCGAGTTCTCCCAGAGGGTGCCGGTGCAGGCCCTAGGGGGCCTGGGGGGGGTACCACCACTGGTACAGCTGGAGTGGAAGGAGAGAAACGCGCCGTACCAATGCGTGGAAGCGATGCTGCTCGAGTGGATTGCTGAGCCTCGTGTGGGCGTTCTCATGGACCTTGGGAGGATCAGATCCCGCCTGCCTGTTATTTTTGCTGCTGGCGATTGTGCAGCACATTCTTCCCCGACGTTTCCTGCTGAAGCTGAAGGTGTTGCTTCTGCTGCTCCAGCGTGGTCCTGCTGCTGGCGCTGCAGCAGCTGCTGGGCTGCCTACCGCCGTGCTGTCAGCTTCGCTGCCTTCCTCGTGCTTGTAGCGAGGTTCCCCCGGTTTGTGACTCTATGGAAGGCTCAGAAGGAGCTCTATGACACAGCCTACCCTTCCCTTGCAGTCGAACTGGGAGTAAGCCGGCAGGCACAGCCGGATGTCGCCGCTTCCACGCTGGTGCAGGTGCTGGGAGTGAAGGACAGTGCGGACCTGAAGGAAGGGTTTGGGTTCTTTGTGCAGCATTTGCTGTCAGGCGGGCTGGAGAAGGCGCATGCAGAGGGGAAGGGGGGAACTGGGGGTGGGGCTGCTGAGAATGTGCATGCGGATGGGAGGGGGAGGGGAGGAGCAGCAAGGGGTGCAGATGGTGTGGTTAGGGGGTCTGTAGAGGACATAGGGAGGTTGAAAGACGGCAGGATGGCTAAAGAGGTTGTGATGATGCCGTGGATGGGGAGCCCTGAAGCGTCGTGGGAGACGGGGATCCGACTCATGGCTGAGGCGATGGCACGAGCTGCGGAGGGCAGAAGCGGCACGGCGGAAGAAAGGGGCAGCGGAAGTGGCGTGGGGGGAGTCGCTGAGGTTGGAAACGGGAGGGAAGGAGCAGGGGAAGGTGGTGGAAGGGAGAAGACAGGCAGCAAGGAGGGGTCGGATGGGTGTGATTGTGATGGTGGCAGGGATGGGAAGGGTGGGAAATGGAGGGAGCATCTGAAGGGGCGTGAGTGGGAGAGGTATGTGGATGGAATGGCTTGGATTCTGGAGCATGGAGGGGGGGAAGGGAGGGAGTTCAAGTGCAGTCATTGCATTGAGGGGGCCCGCAATGGTGGCATCGGCAGCAGCAGCAGCAGTGCTGGTTCTGCTGGTAGCAGCAGCAGCAATTTGGAAGGCAGGGACATTCCCAAGGGCATGTATGTGAGTGGCGTGGGTGCCACTGACTTCGCCCTTGCAGTAGCCTCAGTGTTCTCCAGGCCAGAGCACTGTAAGGAGGGGCGAGTGAACATCCTAGATGGGAACAACGCGAGCAAGACACGGGTGGAGGATGCAGCCATTGAAGAGGCCAGGGAGAGGTTGAGAAGGAAGAGACAGGGACAGGAGATGAGTGAGAGAGGAGGGGGATGTGGAGCAGTAGGAGCATGCGGAGGGGTGAGAGTAGACAATGGTGCTATCGGCAATCCTGCTAACACTAATCCCGTTCTTGCGGTCTTCACTTATCGAGTCAGTTGCATCTTGCAGTGGGTGCGCATCTACGGCTCAGATTCCATCTTAGCGAAGCAATGCTCCAAGGACAACCCACAGGCCAAGATCCTGCGCATGCAGCACCCTTTCCACGACCTCCCAAGCCTACTGCTTAGGTTTGGTGCCATCCCCAAGCCTGTAGACCGAGCCAGCTTCCCCTTGGAGTGGGGCGAGTGGTCCCACGGCGATGAAGGTGCAGTGAAGCTTCCTGAAGATCCGAGTGCACGATGCTTTGGGCTGGGGATTGTAGAGCAGAGTGAGGAGTTTGAGGCGAGAGAGGAGGGTGGGAGTGGAGGGGAGGTTAGAGAGACACCACCAGAGCAGGCAGCAAAGGGAGGAGGAGGCAAGCGCTAGAGTGGGAGGGGGCGAAGCGGAAGGGGAAACAACCAACGGGGTTGTGGTGGAAGGGGCGGAGGCAGCATAGCTGAGAGAGGCGCAGATGCTCCCAAAGCTGCACTGCCACTTTTGAAAAAGAGCCTTCCTATCGTCCGCTGCGCAGCCGATGCAGAATTCCTGGTGTATGCAGCCGGCTTGTTCTTTGATCCTCCGCGGTGCGCCCAGTGCGTTCCGTGCTTCGCACGTTACAAAGCACTCATTCCCTTCTCCGCTCTCGTTGCCAACTTCGCCTACCGCCCCGCCTCTGTTCTCTTCGACCGATTCGTCTCCATCTTCCCGCCACGCTCCCAGGAGTTCATGCAGCTTGCACAAACACTGTGTACGCATGACCCTTCACGTGCAAAAAAATCAACTGCGTGTCGTGACCTGCCCGCGGTTCGCGAGCAAGCAGAGAGGCTGCCCGTTCTCCTGCTGCTCTATATCGCCCTCAACTGGCCCATTTTCATCCTCGGCATCGACGAGGTGATGAAAATGGGGACGGTGGAAGAGCGAGTTGAAGCTGAACGGAAAATTGCAGAGCAACAAGTGAGGAAAGGGCACAGAGCAGGGAGTAAAAGAAACGGTGGGGGACGAGATGTGGGGGAGGAGGAAGAGGAGGATAATGGGGAGGTGTGGGAGGAGGTGCGGACCTGGTGTGCCACTGCAGTGATGGCGTGGCCGTCCAGTGTGCGGGCCACAGGCAAGTGGTTTGACCCTGAGTCCGTTGCATCGGGGCTCAGCCCTCCCTGTAAGGGCAGCAAGCAGCCGGGCTCGCGGCTGCTGGCTTGTGCGTTCTTCCATTTGGCGGCACAGACGAGGTTCCGTGCTGACGTTGACAGCCAGGATGGGTCGGGTAGAAGAAGCAGTGCTGCCAGCAACGGGAGGAACAGCAGCAGCAGCAGCAGCAGCAGCGGCGGTGGTGGCGGCGGCGGTGGCAGCGGCGGCGGCAGCGGCGGCGGCGGCGGCGGCAGCAGCAGAAGGGGTAGTAGCAGCAGCGGTGGTGGCAGAGGCAGCAGCGACAGTGAGGGGATGGGCGAGAGAGTAAATTTGCCGGATTATCTTCAGCCATGGCCGGGGGGGGTCAATTTGCTGGCATGTCTGCGAGAGATACTGCTGGGGGAGCCGTGCTACCGCCCTTCCTCTCGTGCTGAGGCTCCCATCTCTCCAGCAGTAACAACCCTTGTGAGCTGTGCGCCTGCTCCTTGTGGGGACCGTGTGTGCGGTGCTGTGGGGTGTGGGAGGGCGGAGGGCGGTGGTGTGAAGCTGAAGAACTGCTCTGGGTGTGGCAAGATGGCGTATTGCAGCAGAAAGTGCCAAAAGGCGCACTGGCCCTCCCACAAGCTCACATGCCCCGGCAGGACCAGCGGGAAGAAGAGTGGGACCAACAGTGGCAAGGTGAGTGACAAGGTGAGAGACTATGGACAGCAGTGAGCACAGGTGGGGAGAGTCAAGATAAATCAGTGGTGTATGTGTCTTTACTCTCCTCCATGCTGAGTGGTGGATGGGAGTGGAGAGGAGTGGTGACAAGGTTCACCACAAAGTAACGAAAGACGGGGCAAGGCTCATGTGTCTGTTGTCAATGTAAAGCAATTGCCTCCCACATGGCTAGGGCAGGTGAACAACACCCAAACATGTGTAATGGATTTATCTGTTTGATTGATGCATACCTCTAAATGCATTTGCTTTCTCTGCTCCGTCTTGCCCCCGCTGTCCTCTCCTCTGGGTCTGCACAGGATTTATGACAACAAGTGGCTGCCAAGAATCCTACAATCACGACTCAAAGCTAACAATTGCTCTATATTTAAGATGAAATAAATGTCAGCATTCGATGCTGAAGAGAGTGGGTCTGCAAACAGCCATGGCATCATGTAGTTTCTGGTTGCATGCAATAAGCTTGCATCAAGGTCCTTCTGGTACCGTGCTCATTAGAGCAGCTCACATGCTGCACAGTAAATTTTTCTTGCTTGCTAGATGGGACTGCAACTGCAATGGCTGCATGGAACTTCAGCTGGTCTCGTTTGTTCCAATACTGGTATTAACTTATGCCAAGCTTCTCGGGGAGGTACCGTATCATGGGTACGTTTAACTTGGCAGATTGTGTTCCATGGCTCAGCCCTTTGGACCCGCAGTGCATCTACTGGCGCGCGAAGCGGCTTAAACCGAATGTTGATGGGTTCCTGCTTTCCTGCATCGAGGAGAGAAGCCGGATGCTGAAAAAGCGGGAAGAGGGAGAGGAGCGAGAAAATATGGGTACAGACGGAAAAGAGGGGGTTGAGAGGACAGTGTTGGAAACAATGAATCCTAAGCGCCTCTGTCGTGTCGAAACACTATGGCACAAGCGAAACGAAGCATACCGAAGCACCGGCGAGTCAACCCTCGGAGGTTGAAAGTAACTGTTGGAGGTTACGCGAAAGTCAAAGGTCAGCGACCTTTGACCTGACAAATACAGCGCGACAGCAAGGACACACAACTGACTCACTACAGAGCGGTGCCCGAGTCGTCACTGTATCGAATCGCAACAGCAAACAGTAAAGTAGTTATAACCGTATCTCTTCGTATTCCTTGTACTCTTATATAAATGCTTGTATCTCTTTGTTTTAATCAATCTACTTTGCCCTCACATACCAGCGCAAGGTGGTTCAAATCTCTTCATTAAAACGCTTCCGCTATTACATCATCTCTACCCAGAGTTTACCCTTGCAAAAGATCCTAAGGGCTTTTTCAGCCCAACATGGTATGAGAGCTCACAAGGGAAACTCAACTACTATCAAGTCATCACAAGACATGGCAACACAAAAGGAAAGGAGCTCCTCTAACGGCTCCCAGGGTACCACTCCTACTCCACCTCCTGCCTCTGGCCTACAGACAGAGGAGGGTACGGCAACCAGACAAAGGGGAACATCTACTGAGACCCCTGCAACTCAACCTGCCAGCTTCGACCGGAGTATGGTGGAGAATTTTTTCTCCTTCATGTCCTTCTACGAGCAACACCAGCAATCGGGACCTGCGCAATCAAGCAACAACAATAACGACGTGACTCCGATGAGCCTCGATGGCTCATCATACGCGCGCGGAAATCAACAGCAGCAGCCTACCTTTGCTCCGTACGAGCGCGGGTCCATCAGCTTCATGCCGCACCCGCAGCCTCCACCTGGACAAGAAAGACCACTGGACGCACTGCAAGTTCAAACGCAGTCCGCGCACGTTTTAAAGCTGCAAACATCGAGGCCTTTCGATGGAAAGGACTTCTTCACCTGGTCGTTCGAATTCGAGTTGATGATGGAAGGCGCACAGATACTTGGCTTCTTCGACGGGTCCCTGCCATACCCAACAAACGGCACACAGTATGAGAAGCAGCAGTACACCTATCAATCAATGATGGCGTACACAATCCTACTGAGGAACATCACACCGACTCAGCAGCAGAATATACGGTCTTACCGGGGTTACGGCAACTCCGCGGAGCTCGCATACAGCCACTTGAAGAACCTGTATCAAGCAACAGACAGTGTAAACCAGAGCAGGTTAATGGCGCAGTTGACAACAGTCGAAATGAAACCAGGGGAAAAGGGAATATCGTATATCAGCCGATGTCGCGAGCTGCGCGACAAGCTTCTTCGATGCGGAGGGTCGATATCTGAAGACGCCTTCGTGACAGTCATCATTGGTGGTCTCGGTCCCCAATGGCGCGCCACAAAGGCCATTCTCCGAGCCCACGGAAGAATCTCCGAAGCAGCACTCTGCGCCGAAATCCACGCCGAGCAGCAAGACATGGACCTGCAAGAAGAACGACACAAGAAGAAAACATCAGCACCAGAATTCGCCTTTCACACTCAGCGACGGTACAACAACAACAACAACAAACAGCAACCGAAGCCCGTACCTCAATTCTGCCACATCTGCAAAACGTCAGGGCACCCGCGCACGCACTGCCCGAATCGACAACAGTCAACGCCACAACAGCGACAGCTTCGACCTTCAAGCAGCCAAGTTGCCTCAACGCAAGCGAATCCCACGACCCAGGTTCAAGCTTCAACGACATCAACGGGACAACCTGCACAAGGAGCAAGGAACATCGTCAGTTGCATGGCAAGATTAAGTGACTCCTGCATCACCGAGTCACCACCGCATTACTCACCGGAAGAACAACTCCACGACACTACACCTCACCGCGAGTCACTTCAACCGAACCCGACGTACGCAGCCATCGCTCAAAGCGAGCCATCCGGGAAAGATACCTGGTTCTTGGACAGTTGCTGCGGACAGCACATGTGCTCTTCAGGACGCTTCGTACAGCGAGAGTATCAACTCCAACGAGAAGTAGTCATCACCGTCGCCAACAATCAAAATCTGCGCACACGACGACAAGGCGTAGTACAACTTCAGTCACGAGAGACAAATGTCATTCTACAGATGTCCAAGGTTTTAATTGCAGAAGGCCTCGGCTACAACTTACTGAGCGTCAGTCAGCTGATGGCGAAAGGCATTCACCTTGAAGCAGACAGCACAACCCAGGAGTTTAAGCTATACCACGGGAAGGGTGGTCTCTACATCGGAAAGGCGATCCTCAAGATCAACCTCTTCGTTCTTGATTTTGTTCCAGATCTCGGCACAGCAGACAGCGACGGCATCGTCACCTTCACCTCCTGGACCCACCCTCCAGATCTTGATCCAGACTTCAGCCCCGGTGGGTTCGGGCACTCTCACACGATACCTGAGACAGAACGAACAAGGGCATTAGCAACGATTCAACAATCGGCAGCAGCAGAGACAACATCGGCAACAGCAGAGACAACATCGGCAGCAGCAGAAACAACAACAGCAGCAGCGGCAACATCGACCCAAATCACTGGTCCTTCAACGGCACCAATCTTCATCGACGATTCGCCACCGCCACCCGCACAGCAGTTAAACCCGGCGCCACAAGAAGTCCACCGAAGCGCCAACGTCACCGCCGGCTTCTACTCCAACTCCGATCT